ATATTTGATTCCACCAATTGTGGGAGAGGGCTCCTGGTACGTGGGCATGATACTAAGCCATGATTAGAATTGCATATGGGTATATAGATGAATATAGATGTACATTAGATACGTAACACTTGGTTTACTATATTGTATTTTTGTAACCATTTAAAATAAAACATAAAAACAAAACTGATATAGTATTTTACAGTAACACAACAGGTAGACAATCTCTATTTATTAATATAAGCATCAACCCGCATATAAGTACAGCCCAACATACAGAAAATTTAAATGAACATACAACATACATTTTTTTATATCCATTATATATATATATATATATATATATATATATATATATATATATATATATATATATATATATATATATATATATATATATATATATATATATATATGTATATATATATATATATATATATATATATATATATATATATATATATATATATATATATATATATATATGTGTGTGTGTGCAATAAAAAGGAAACAAATAATTTTCTTATATATTTAATAATACACTACCATTTAAATACCTGTAAAAAAACAATGTGTCAATTCTTAAAGTTTAGTAAAGAAATTTAAAGTGTTCAATAGATTGTGTCTCAAGCTTTATTTTAGGTTTTTTTTTTTAAATAGTAAGTAAGGCATTATAATATATTTAGAGAAAAAAAAATCTTTAATTAGTGAATTATTACATATAAGCTTATTAATATTAGGTTCTTTACGAAAATATGTCAGTAAGTGTACGTTAAAAAATTTAATAGAGTTGCACCGAATTAACATGAAAAATACGAAACATGAAAAAAAAAACCTTGGTTCTTGACCTACGTGTCGATTTGTAAAGAATTAGTCAGATAGAAAAAATAGTAATTTAGCTCTGGAATTTCGATGCATGTGGAAGCACGATATATAGAGAGACATAAAAAGCCGGTTAAATAAAAAGATTGTAATGACAAGTTAATCTTGAATTGAAATGCATATTTTTATAGCTAATCTAACCTAACCTAAACCTAACCCAATTTTATGAGCCTAATTCAATTTGATATTATCAGATCTAAACCGTAACTGAAATGATTATGCTAAGTTTAGCAGAGCTTATCTAAAGTAAACTTATTTAAGTTCCCCTTTCAAACCTGACGGTCTATGAGGCAAGTGAAGTAGAGTTCACTTGTTTCTGTGACCTCAGCATATGAAGAGATAGTGTTGTCAGCACGATGCCCAGCCGCCTTTACTCTCCCTAACGTGAGTTAGGTACCCATCAGAGTTGGGTGGACTCAGGGACGGTCTACTGAATTGAACCCGGATTCGAACTCGAGACTTACGGGTTAGCAGAGAACACTCCGTCCCATAAACTTTTTTAAGATAAGCTTAAACTTACCATACGGCCTATATTATAATTATTAAAAAGTAGGGAATATTACTAGTCTACACGTCTACATAACCTGCTAGTTATTGTAGGCAAGACAATAATAATATTAATTACGAGGTAAATGGCCCGTTGAAGGAGAAATACAATGGGCGCTAGGTTGATAGTGATGTCTTTTTCTCTAAACCAAAACCAAAATCTACAACTCTATTTCAAATTTAACCAGAAACGAAAAATATCATTGAAAACCAATTTTTATCCAGAATCGGCATTTTAACCGATTTTAACCTTGATTTGGCACGTAGCTACTGCACATTCATATTAAATATTCAATGGGCGCTAGATTGATAGTGTTTTCTTTTTCTCAAAACTAAAACCAAGTACCTTGCTAAATGTAGACATTTCCGCATAACGTTATCTGAAAAAATTGATCTACACGCAGTTCCTGCATACTGACACTAAATTTAGTGGTAGTCATACCCCTAAACCTTGAATCTAATCTCAAACTTAACAAAAGTTGCATGCATGCATCTGTGAAAGAAACAATGGTCGCATTTGTTCACTGTACAGACTAAATGTAGACCCGCCATTCTTCATCTAGAACCATTTCCTACTTTTGGCTGCTAAACCTCAATTTTGCAGTGTTTCTTTCATATTTATTTTCTCCCGGTAGGGGCGGGGTGCATTTTAAATTTTTACAGGTGACTAAATTCCCATATGTGGGAGGGGTTTAGTGAACACAGGTAATATAGTATATATTTACTATATAAATTCTATTTGGTTCCAAGGGGGAGGGGTGGTAGACGTTATCATGGGTAATCGTCTATGACTATCTGTATAGCACAACTTTTATGGAAAAAGAGGGCTTTAGTATATAAATAGTAACTAATGTTTCTTTAATAAATGCGGTCTTTATATTAAAGTGTGTTTCTGATAATTATTTAGTATAGTGTAGGGGCATCTTTTAGAATACTTTTGCCCAATAATTCCTATGCACTGTAGGGGCATCTTTAAAGTAAAAAAATTATGCCCATCTTCGTTAAATTTTAAGTATGCTTATATTCATATATATTTGAATGGCATCCGTACAGTAATTTATAACTATCATGATTTTCAATTAAAACAATTCGGGGGAAATGTGGGTAAAATTTAAGGGCATTTGCAGAGTAATTAAACCCATATTGTTTTTGATAAATTGTAGGGGCACTCTTTATTTGTTTTGATGTATTATATGAATATACTAAAGAATAAGAATGCCCATAATGTTTTTGAGACACTAAAAGGACACGCCCAAGAATATGCATTAACATATTGTTTTTTTAAATACATATTAGTGATATCATTTTAAATAATTGTGCCCATATCGTTTCATATAAATTGTAGGGCATCGTAAAAGTCGCGCTAAAGTTAAAGTTAAGTTTAATGCAAAGTAGATTTATCAGTAAAGTAAATTGGCGCTTTCTTAGAACTGATTTTATAAATAGTAGAGCCATCTGTAGAGTAAGCGAGTCCACGTTGATTTAATGAATCGTGGCAGATATAACGGCCCTGGTAGTCATTATACGTGGAGACTAGGGGCCTAGGGCCGACCATAGCGCGGTGGACCAAGGTTTACCATTGGTGTCTTCAACATGTACAGTAAGGCTGTATTAATTCAGGGGAATAGTGAACAAATTTAGTATTCTAAGTGTTCGAAACTTTTATCTCCAATTTGGAAAAGTAGTGTATTTTCTTCTTCTCAAAGCGAATTAATATTATGACGACGATATAATCATTTTGTTTTCCTTTTATATTAGCTTCATTATCATATATCTGACCTCGAAATTCACCAATCTCTAATCAATATTTCTCGAGTGCTGCTGGCAGTGATCTAAATATCTTTGCCTGTCGTGTCTTTAGCGATAAAAAAGTTCAATGAAACATTCCACAGGTTAAAAATCACACGTGAAACATCGACAAATCGCACAAGCAGAGAGCTTTTCTTTATGATTAGTATCGATATTTCCTCAATGTACCGAGTTTTGTTTTTCTTTTACCAAGACGAGACGCTTTATTCCTACGTATCTGACTACTTCGACGTGCGAGATAAGACTAGCATTTCTAAGGCCCGTAACTAGTACAGGCATCCAAAAAAAAACCTTCTCCATTGTTCCAAATACAGTAGGGTATCACATTACGTGTTTTCCCAAATTAACATACCAGGCTTAAGGTTGGTGGAGTGGGGTGGGGTGAGATTGCTCACTCAAGTCCACCCATCGCCAGCCATTTTAAGTCAAACAATTACCAGGGGAACCGGCACACACTGAGGTGTGACACTAATGTCTTCCTGTCGCAGTTCAGGTGGATGATAACTCACTCACATCAATCGTGACCTCAGTTGTAACAATCAACAATGGTGAACTTTGACCCTTAGTTTTTCCCAATTTAATTCAACCAAGAATACCTTACCTCTGTGACCGCTGCCCGGTCCCTTAGGGCAATGTAAAACTGGAAACTCTTTTGTAGGGCATGAAAAATATCCCCCTCCCCCTCCACCCCCACCACTTCCGGCATGTCTCCAAACTGTCTTTTATCCCAGAAATTTTACCCATCCATACATTTGTTGAGTCAGTCATTCCTTTGGATTTATTTGTACGCAGTGTATTAAAAAGTTTAGCTAAGTAAATTTTTTTATGCTTTTCTATTTGTATTCTGTTTGATAAAATAATGCATATTGTAATTTGTCTTCAATTGTACGGCTATTAACACTTTTAACACCGTATGATATATGTATATATATATACATACACATATACATACACATATATATATATATTTGTATGAGGGCATCTTCCCTTGGGTTGGCCCCGGGCATCAAAGTAGCTCTGCACGCCACTGTTCTGTTCACGACAATAAACGCTTTAGTTAGAAATATGTTTGTACATTTGAATATTTCTTATTTTTTATTTTCCTCCTTTAAATAAAATTTAGTTTATACATGTATACCATCCACCATATTATTTTCAATAAAAGTCCGCATCTTTGTTTTCTATATATCGCTGAACATGCTGACGACGTTGCAAAAATTATTGCGGACAGAGGGAAGAGAGAGAGAGAGAGAGAGAGAGAGAGAGAGAGAGAGAGAGAGAAGTGCGCACGTTGTCCTTTATATATTAGGATGACATTACCAACGTCATCTAATGGAGCAATTCACAACCTCAATCAGGACGTGTTAAATTTACAGTAGCTGACTTCTGATGACATATGTGGGGGGCAGTGGGGAAAATGAAGACAGCGATGTGAAGGGCTAGAGCGGGTGGGCAAAATTAAGGCAGGGGGGGGGGGGGTAAAGAGGTTAGGCAAATTGAAGGGGTGGGGATGGAATGGGAAAAGTGGGGGGTAAAATGGTGGGGTAAAAAGGATGGGCAAATTGGACGGATGGTTAATGGCAAAGTGGTGGATAAAAGGGTGTGCAAAGTGGAGGGGTTAAAGAGGTGGATAAAGTGGGGGATAAAGGGTTTGGCAAAGTGGAGGGTAGAGAGATTAGGCAAAGTGGAGGGGTAAAAATCGTGGGCAAAGTGGAGAGGTTGAGGAGGTGGGTAAAGTGTGAGGTAAAGGGGTTGGGCAAAGTAGAGCGGTATAAATGGAGGGCAAAGTGGAGTGTAAAAGTGTTGGGCAAAGTGGAGCGGTAAAAAGAGTTGGGCAAAGTGGAAGGTTAAAAAGAGTGGGAAAAGAGGGGGGGGGTGAAGGATTGGGAAAATTGGGACTAAAAGGGTTGGGCGATGTGGAAGGTAGAGAGATGGGGCAAAGTGGAGGGGTAAACAGTTTAGTAAAAGAGGAGGGGTATGAAATGGGAAAAGAGGATACTTATAAAAGGTAAGAAAAGGATGGGTAGAGGGGATGGGGAAAGTACAGGGGAAAAATAGTGAGCAGAGGAAAGAACAGAATGGAATAGCAAAGTTGAATGACATTGGGTCTAGGAGTGGGGCAAAAATGTGTAGGGAGAAGACGGATGGGCAGTTAGTGGATGGGGTTTAGGTAGGCATTGGGTGGAATATGGGGAGAACGTGTAGAAATGGGTGGATAAATGCTGAAAGGCAGGAGAGATCCGAGTGTTGGGATAGAGCAGGGGTCGGCAACCTGCGGCTCGCGAGCCGCATGCGGCCCTCCTGATACCAAGATGCGGCTCTCCAGCTCCTTGAACAAATACTAACAATCTTAATAAAAAATAAAATATTTGAAATAAAAAAAAATGTTAGTGGCTCTTTAACCCTGCTCTGGTACCATGGGGTCAATATGACCCCAAGCCCTCTTAGGACCAGATTATTTTGAAAACTACCACGATTAATGACCTCACCTGCCATGTATTTTCTTGTAAGACCTTCCTAAGTACGTTACACATGTTTGATAGTTTTTAAGTATTACTGATTATTTATTATTTGTTTTTACTTTCCCTTGGGGTCATATTGACCCCATAGTACCGTCAATGTGACGAAAGTATTTTCTTCTTATTTACAGATTTTCACTGCATAATAACATGACTACACGAAATAGATTTTCTGCAGATGCAGTTTTGCAGTTATTAGATGATCTAAGTGACATAGATAGTGAAAACTAGGACATAGAAAATGATTTGAGCTGAGATGAAAGTGACAATGAACCAAGTAGAGAAGAACCAGATGTCACTAGTGAAGTTAGCGCTAATGAATACGAATCAGAAAATGAATCGGACGATTATGACACTCAAGATATTCTTGGAAAAGACGGTTATGTGTGGTCACAGAAGCCGAAAATTCTCCGAAGAACACCGATGCGAAATATTGTTACACAGAAGCCAGGGCCAAAAGGGAATGGGTGTCAGGCAGACACACCATTGAAAGCATTTGATTTATTTTTTGACGATTCCATGATAACAGAGATTGTTACATGGACCAATCAAAAAATTGAAAATGTGAAAGTCAGTTACATTAGAAACGCTGGATTTTTGTACCAAACCAACGTTGTAGAAATTCGAGCACTTATAGGCATCCTACTCTTCTTGGGTGCCACAAAAAACTCCAAGGAAAGTACTGCAAGTATTTGGTCGAAAGATAGTACTGGCAAGCCAATTTGCATATCAGCGATGAGTCAAAAACTGTTTTTGCTGCTTGTGTATTGCCTACGTTTCGACAATTCCACAACGAGGGCCCAGCGAAGAGCTAACGACAAGTTGGCGTGTGTTCGCGACATATTTGGCAAATTTGTCAAAGCTTGTGAAGCAAACTACACCCCAGGAACTGGGTGTACAGTGGATGAATCTCTCCTTGCATTCAGAGGAAGATGTAGTTTCAAGCAATATATACCAAATAAACCAAGTAAATACGGCATCAAGATATATGTATTGGCTGATAGCAAAACGTTCTACTCGGTTTCTTCAAAAATTTATATGGGAGCTGGTACTCATGCACCAGGGATGCAAGTTCCAACCCAAGCAGTCTTGGATTTGGTACCCACAATTTCTGGAACAAACAGAAACATTACAACCGATAACTATTACACATCAATTGATTTGGCCAATGAACTAAAATCCAGGAATCTCACATTAGTTGGCACTATGAAAAAGAACAAAGCTTGCATTCCACCGTCATTTTTTATGAAAGCAGCAGAAGGAACAGTTCAATAAGTCTTTGATCATGCAAACGATTACACTCTCTTTACTATTGTTCCAAAGAAGAACAAGAGAGTTATATTTCTTTCCACCATGCATTCGCAAAAATCGACTGATGCAGCTACTGGGAAAAAAGAAATAAATGTATTTTACAACCAAGAAAAAGGTGGGGTAGACAGACATGATCAAATGTGCAGCTTTTATACCACGGCAAGAAAAACAAATCGTTGGCCAATGAGGGTATTTTATGGAATGATTGATAGTGCTGCCTTGAACGCATTTGTTATTTTTACTGAAAACTTTGGAGAACGTAAGAAAAACAAACGACAGGCATTCTTGAAGAAACTGGCCATCGCATCAACGATTGGAGATGAAGCAGACGCCAAAAGATGTCAAACAGATCATCCGTACCTGCGGCATTGCGGAGGTACCAACACAAACAGCAAGCACCACACAACCTCATTCAGGACGCAAGAGATGTTCTATTTGTCCCAGATCTTGTGACAAGAAAACCAAACTAGTCTGTAATGAGTGCAATAAGTTTGTGTGTGAAGAACATACCAAGTGAGTTTGCAACCAATGCCAGCATTGACATTTTTCCTACATCGCGTTGAAAGAACCTAAATATTGTCTACAAAACATGAATACATATTTGTCCACATGTATTAACACATTGTAGTATTATAAGTATGCCAAAATTAAATAAATATTATAATTATCTGGTATTATTCTAATCATATAGCCTATTTTGCACCATGGGGTCAAACTGACCCCATGGTACCAAACGGGTAATTTTTTCTAAGGTACCAGAGCAGGGTTAAAACCAGGAAAATTTTGAAAATTGTAACTTTTGGCTCTTCCGCTTCAAAAGGTTGCCGACCCCTTGGATAGAGGGGAGTGGGCTACACGGACATGTACACGAAAGATAATGATGTGCACGTACACGTACACTTACAGCTGCAGGTGCGTCAATTGGAGAGACAAGCCCAGGACACCTGGGGTCAATTGGAGAGACTAGCCCAGGACACCTGGGATCAATTGGAGAGACTAGCTCAGGACACCTGGGGTCAATTGGAGAGACTAGCCCAGGACACCTGGGGTCAATTGGAGAGACTAGCCCAGGACACCTGGGGTCAATTGGAGAGACTAGCTCAGGACACCTGGGGTCAATTGGAGAGACTAGCCCAGGACACCTGGGGTCAATTGGAGAGACTAGCCCAGGACACCTGGGGTCAATTGGAGAGACTAGCCCAGGACACCTGGGGACAATTGGAGAGACTAGCCCAGGACACCTGGCGTCAATTGGAGAGACTAGCCCAGGACACCTGGGGTCAATTGGAGAGACTAGCCCAGGACACCTGGGGTCAATTGGAGAGACTAGCCCAGGACAGAGATGCCACGAACGCTCCTGTCAGTGGCCTAGGCACCGAGAGGGGTGACAGGCTAATTCAACACATTTATCCTAACCTCTCTATTTATTTCACTATTTATCTCTCTCTCTTTCTCTCTCTCTCTCATTATATATATATATATATATATATATATATATATATATATATATATATATATATATATATATATATATATATATGTAAAATACTTAGGATGTAGCTTAAATGTGGCCCCTTGCTTAAATCTTTTCTTAATCTTTATGCATGTGTGTATTGATGTATCTTGCATACACTGACAAGTTCTAAACAAGATCTCTGATCTCTTCTAACTAACTTCTATCAAATTAGTTGTCAAACTCATTTAAATTTTTCGATAAACCTAATTCCTCGTGTGTGTTGATGCGTATTGAGAACATAGTTTGGACTACCATTAATGTCAGAGATTATTTTTTTAAATATTAAACCTAATTATATGAACATTAGGTAATGTTGTTGTCTTTTTACAATTAGGTAATTTATTTTTTAAATTAAGTGTAGGAGGAACAAGATCATAGTTGTTGACATTGTGTTTAAGTTTAAGACGATTTTGCATTTGTAGGTAAAACTGATTATATATTCAGGACCTACATTATTTTGTTCCATAGCCTCTATGTCTCTTCCAATAAGAATTTATAGAGCTGCACATAGATTGTCAGATGATAAGATAGTAAAGGACTTGCTTTGTTAGAATTTTAGTTGTCTAGCCCTGTTCACAGAAGATAAATTTATTAAAATTTCATGAAAACAATATGGAATGACCCACGCATACACTCCATGAAACGCCTAAGCCCAAGTCCACCCGAACCCCCCCCCCCCCCACCTCAATTTATTACGCATTGATCGACCTTCACACAAAGCGTGCCATATTTCACATGTCGGAGAAAAGTCTGGGAAGGCGTCTAGTCCATGTGTAGACCTCGACTTCAATTTTCAACTGAGGAAAAATTTGAATGGGGTTGATTAGAATGTGGAACAGGTTGGGAAGTTTGCGCATGGGTTATGTGTTATGTTATTGAAGTCTGTCTAAGGAAGAAAATATTTAATCAGGCCATCACCTAACATCAAGTGATAATACGCATTGCAGTAGATTTAATGCGCATTTTAATGCGCAAACCAGTCGATGCATTTAGATTTGAATGTAACACATTTTAATATATATGGAAATGTTTATTTAATCTCATTGTATAATAACAGACCAAAATAAATGGTTGTAATAAAAACATAAACAGTATTTAAATTAGATCCAAGTAAAACATGATAATGTGTTATCAAAGCCATATGAAAAATAAGTCTTCTATTTTTTGTTCTCTGGGAACAACTGTTTACCTATATAAATACATGATATGTTCTTAAGTGATTAAATTAGTAAACTCATAAATTATTTTTTTATTACCCACATACAAGTGCGCGGGATTAAAACATGCCTTAATTACATGAAGCAACGTGCTATCGACCAGAGTAACCGTTTTATTAAAAATTCCTACCATTTCCACAAACAATTGGTAAAACTAGTTCAAGTATTTGTTAATACAATAATTAATAATTCAAAACATGAGGTAAAAATTGGTTTACGGCGAGGGGCGTCAAAGCAACCAATGACAAAACGGCCCCGACATAAACGCCCCGCCAAATCGAACCCGACAAAAGGGCCAGCGAAAAAGAACCCCGTCATATAGGCTCAAGAAAAATAGGCTCCCGTCAGTTTGGCTCCCGATAAAACAGTCCCCGTCTTTACGTCTCACGACAAAACGGCTTCCGTCATTACGTCTCCCAAAAATTAGGGTCCTGTTATTTCGGCTCTAGACTAAAAGGCCCCTGTCAATACGGTTTTAGTAGAGACTAAGTCTCCCGGCGAAAAGTCCTTTTTTAAATATGACAAATATTAATGGGATTCATTCATCAATACTCTTTAGAGTTAACATAGCTAACACTGTAAATACAACTTATATTTCTTTTGTTCAGCAGGCCTTATTTTTATATTTTATCATACGCCGCTATTTAGTTGTTTTTTTCTACTTTTTAGTAATTCATAATTTGTTATTTCGACACTACCAATGCTGCCACTGAAAATATTTGCTTTAAAACACTATCAGTAGCTCGTTAAGGACGATAACAGCCCCCCCCTTCCTTTCCCCAACCCTTACCCCACCCCCTTCCCCCCCCCCCCCCCCCCCCCCCCCGTGAAAGCAAACTCCTCTTAGTTACCTCCCCTAAGTTTAAAATCGTTTCAAACTACATTATCTGCCCGTAATAGCCGTCACTAAACCCGGCTCTACGATTGTTAATATTTAGCGTGAACCACAACTCACCAGACCATGTAGGGGTGGGGGTGGTAGGGAGCGCGCTTACAGCTTGGTGTTTTCTAGAGTCTCCAAGAAGAGAATTATATATATAGATAGATACGAAATGTTATGTTTTAAATTTAGAATCATCTAGCTATGACTTCCATGAATGAGTCGGTTGTGGGCAGTTCCAACTCAGTGTGTGGGTAGAGATATCCACGCTGTACTACCTGCAAAATGCGTGTAGGCAATCAAAACAAAATGTCGTTTTCCTGTACACATCATCTATACCATACATTTAAAATTTCTGTGCTCGCTTTTAAGCAACAGATCTTTACTGTTGTAAATTAAACATCAAAATGTTTAAGTTGGTGGAATTTAGCTGTCAAGGGCTAGATTAGTTTTTGAGTTGCTGTTGGTTCATGAAAAACAATTTGTCAAGTCATTTAAAAGAGATCACAGTGGTAGTGGAGGTAGGACAAAAGGGTTACTTAAAAGCCAGTAGTGGTCATATCATTCATTTGTCTATAGCCAATAAGGCGGAAGTCATTTTTTCGAGAGCCTTTATGCCGGGAGCCCATGTGTTGGGTCCCAATAAATCGGGAGCCCATTTGTCGGGAGCCTATATATCACGAGTCAATATTACGGGAGCACATTTGTCGGGAGCCCGTTTGCCGGTAGCCCAATTTCCGGGAGCCCTTATGCTGGGAGCCAATATGTCAGGGGTCCATTTTTCGGGAGCCTATATGTCGCGATTCAATACGACGGGAGTTTATTTCACGGGAACCAATATGTCAGGGCCATTATGACGTGGATATTTTAACGGGGTAGTTTTGTCCGGGGTCGATTTGACGGGGACAAATTGCCAGGTCGTTTTGTCCTAAGCAGACGGTGCGGCGGGTTATGGCTACGGCTGTGGTTGGGTTAAAGATAGAATTAATAGAATTATAGTAATAGATAGAGTAGGTGATATTTTCTTAACCTAACTAAAAAATGAAACCCATTAATGTGGTTACAGCGATATTGTCCCATCGCCAGGTGTTTCTGTGTTGACTTCTTCAGCACCTCTATAGCTGCCTGGGGATATCGGTTGGCGGTCTGCACAGTGTGTGCCCTGGCGAACTCCATCTTCTAATAATAATTTCTACTTTAGCGTCAAGTTGACCTGACGTTTCCTATAGGTAAACGTTGGTGATGGTATCTGGCCATCGCATCCCAAGTATTCGTCTATAACAGCTGTTTGCAAATGTCTGGACTTTCTCAATGGTCGCCTTTTGTCGTCCATGTCTCCGCTCCATACACC